CGCGCCGTTCCCGCGCTTCCCCGGCGGCGCGCGCGGCCGGTGCAGCCGCCCGTGCAAGGCGATGCGCGGCGCCTTCTGCATCCCCTTCTCCCCCCCGGCTGCTCTCTGTCCTGCCCTGTGCCCGCATCCCCCACCGCCGTGCTCGCCCCACTTTGCGATGACAGCTCTCCTCTTTTTTGGGGGTGTTTTGTGCTTTTTTAAAAAATTTATTTATTAACCTATTGTTTGGCATTAATTAAAAAATAAGTGGAGTCCCTCACGCCTTTGGTTGTGCTCTGGCTTTGTGTGACAGCGACAGAGCTCCGGGCAGAGACCCGTCCCCCTTCCCAGTGCCCCCCGCTCTGCCGTCGCCCCCTTTCCGCTGCAGGCTGCTGGGCTGGGGGTGCCCCCACGCACGGGAGTTGGGCACGGGGCTCCTGCCGTGGTCCCCGCTGTCCCCTCCGCCCACAGGGCCACCGCAGTCACTTTGGGGGAAGCCAGGGCCAGCCGCTGCTCCAAGCCCTGCAGAGAGCAAGCAGAGGCCGTTCCGATACGCTCCCGCCCCAGCAACGCTCCCGTGCCTCTCCCGGGTTAACTGGGCAGGAGCCCGGGGTGATCAACGCCCCTGGCCCAGCCTAAGCTGCCCCAAGCCAATTAGGGGCCAAGGAGCTCCCTGGGGGTTTTGAAAGCCGATTAGGGCATTACAACCCCTCCGCTCCCGCGAATCCCCTTAATCGAGTCCAGAAGCAATTAGTTAATCAATGCCACCCCCGGGCAGGGCCAGCTCGTGGGTGCGGGGTGGGTGCACATCGGGGTGCCCCACTCCTGGCTCCGGTCGGTGGCTGACCCCCGCGCTGCCCCCCCGAGTGCCCGGCCAGCCCCGCTTCCATGCCAGCACCTCCCTGGAAGAGCCCTGGGTGCCGAAACGGGGACAATTTTGCAAGAGGTGCTTGGCCAGTCCCAGCACAGTCACTTGCTCGACACGTGAGCCTGCCTAGAAGGAGCACCCAAAACAGCTGGGGGCTGCCCTGCCCCAGGGGGGCTGGCTGCAGCGAAAACGGGGCCTGTGCACCCATGTGCCCCTGTACCCATGCACCCCTGTACCCATGCATCCATGTACCCTTATACCCATATATTCACGGTCCCAGGTACCCCTGCACCCATGCACCCTGTACCTATCCACCTGTGTACCCCTGCACCCATATACCCCTGGACTTCTGCACCCATGTACCCATGCACTTTGTGTACTCATTTACCTGTGTGCCCATGTACACCTGCACCCATGTACCCATGCACCCCTGCATTTCTGCACCCATTTACCCCTGCACCCATGCACCCTGTGTACCCATGCATCCGTGCACTTGGGCACCCATTTACCCATGTACCCCTGTACTTCTGCACCCATTTACCTGTGCACACATGTACCCATGCACCTTGTATACGCATTTACCTGTGTGCCCATGTACCCCTGCACCCAGGTACCCATGCACCCATGTACCCATGCACTCCTGCATTTCTGCACCCGTCTACCCGTGCACCCACATACTGCTGTACTTGTGCACTCATGTACTCGTGCACTCGTGTACCCGTGCACCCCTGCACCCCAGCACTCATCCCCTCCTGCCTGCAGCTGCTGTGGGTGCAGCAGCAGCCACCATCCCACCCCACCCCATCCCCCTGCCAGCGTGACCCATAGGCGATGGCGCTATAATTACCCCTCTCCCCTCGTGCAGCTGCCAGTATTTACAGGTCTCCCTGTGGACGGGTGCTGGCATTTGGCACAGCACCCTGTTTATCGCCGCGCCAGCCGGGCACTGTGTGCCGGGGCTGTTTTCCCTGGCGGGTGCAGGTCCCGAGGGGCTGTGCGTGGCCGCTTCCCCCCAGCCGTTTCTGGGTCAGGTTTTGCAAGCAAGCAGAGGGGCCGCCTGGGTCATGGCCGTGCACGCCAGCACGGGGAGCAGCTCTCGCAGCTCTCCCTGCGGCTGCCCCTGCATCTGGGGGTACAAAAGAGCCCCCCCAGTCCCTGCCTGGGGAGGGAAGGGGGGGCCCCGGTGCATGTGCCGGGCGTGGGGGCTGCGTCTCCCTGGTGCTCCCAGCACAGCCTGGGGACCTGCTGGCGAGGCACCTCTTTGCACCCCAGCAGTGGCTGCATTTTGGGGGTGCAAAGGGAGGTGCTCCTTATAAGCCAACCCCTGCTGTCGCTGGCCCCAGCTCTGCCCCGTTCCTGGCACCATCACAACGCCTGAATGGCCGCGGGGCCGGTTTTTGCCCCTCCGCGCCCCCACCCCTCTGCTGTTGTGGGGTCCGGCCCCAGGATCTGGCCACGCTGCCCCCGGGGTGTGTGGCCATTTGGCCCAGGGGCAAAGCCTGGCCCTGTTTACCCCCTGGCTCCGGTTTCGGCGTGCCAGCAGCCGCAGCACGGGCGGGCAGGGCCTCCCGGACAGCCTGTCCCCAGCTTGTTTACTGCTGCCGGCGGCATCCCGATGGCTCAGTCCCGTGTGACAGGTGCTGCTTCCCCGGACACCCGATCCCGCATTGGGATTTGGCTCCTCGTGACCAGGGAGCGACTTATAAATAGCGGGACGAGGGGTGCTGCCGGCAGCCGAGAGCAGTTGAGAGGAGCACGCCGTCGTGCCAATGGATTTCCAAGCCGGCATCCTGCAGGATGGCAGCCCCATGGAGAGCCTGGAGAAGCAGCTCATCTGCCCCATCTGCCTGGAGATGTTCAGCAAACCGGTGGTGATCCTGCCCTGCCAGCACAACCTCTGCCGCAAGTGTGCCAACGACGTCTTCCAGGTGAGAGGGGGTCCCTGCACCCATTTCCCCCGTCCTGCCCAGGCTGGAGGTCACCGGGATGCCCGTGGTGCCGTGGGGACGCTTGCAGTGCTGCGGGGATGCTCGCGGTGCTGTGGGGATGCTCATGGACCCCCCCCGATGTGCATCTCCCCCTCCCAGGCTGCCAACCCATACTGGCAGAGCCGAGGCAGCGTGATTTCGGGGGGCCGGTTCCGGTGCCCATCGTGCCGCCATGAGGTGCTGCTGGACCGTCACGGCGTCTACGGGCTGCAGAGGAACCTGCTGGTGGAGAACATCATCGACATCTACAAGCAGGAGTGCTCCAGGTGGGCACGGGCGGCCGTGGCTGATCGCTTGTGCCTTGCCCCGGCGGGGACACAGGGACATGGGGACGTGGGGACACGGGGACGCGGGGATGCCCACCTCCTGAGCCCCAGCACCATTGCTGAGACTGCAAGAGATTGCAGCTGGGTGAGAAATTGGGGGGCTTTTCTGCTGTGTCAGTGGTCCCCGATCCAAATCTTCCTCCCCTGACCCAAATCCCTGCCCCGTCCAGAGCAGTTTGGGGCTCAGGGCGGCTCAGGGGGATGGTGGGTCCCAGGGGGGCAGTGGCAGCAGGGCAGGTCCTGTCCCCCCGCGCTCTGCAGCCGGAGCATTCGGTGCCTGATAAGAGGTGTGGGGGCCAAATCCAGGCTCTGCTCCTGACAGCGGGCACAGCTGGCTGATAAGGGGCAGAGGGACAGTTGGGGGGGCCTCTCGGGAGCAGCAGGCAGCTGGCGGGGGGCACGGAGGAGTCACAGCTTCTCCAGGCAGAGCGGTGGCCCTGGCCAAATTCCCCGAAGCACCGTAAATATTGTTTGAGAGCCATGGGGACGGGGACGATGGCACGTGGCAGGTGTCTGCAGCCCCGGGGGGGACGCAGGGGGCCAGCACTGGGTTTGCTTCTGTGGGTCAGCTCGTCCCCATGTCCCCCCTTGGCTGCAGCCCCCGGCTGGGACCCCCCGGGGATTTCTGGGTGCCCCCACCCCAGTCACGCGTTGGGTGACAACAATAAATGCCGGCAGCCCAAGGCTAAAATTAGGCATTTGCGCAGTGTCCCTGGAGCACGGCCCCGGGCCCCCTGCCCACCGGTGCCGACTGCTGCTGTGCCCAGTGCCGCCCTGGTTTAAACTGGGCGCAGAGGTTGGTGGCTCCCAAAGGATCAAGTGTGGGGTTATGCCAGGATCTGGCCTCTCGCCTGGGGGACCTGATCGCGGGGTGGCTGTGCAGCATCGGTGGGGATGTCACCACGGCGGGGATGGTGCTGCAATGGGGACATCATCATGGTGGGGATGTCACTGCAATGGGGACGTCACCCTGATGGGGATGCCACCCTGATGGGGACTTCACGGCGGCCGTGCCGCTCTCTCCAGCAGGCCACTGAAGAAGGGGGAGCACCCCATGTGCAAGGAGCATGAGGACGAGCGGATCAACATCTACTGCGTCACCTGCGAGGTCCCCACCTGCTCCATGTGCAAAGTCTTCGGTGCCCACAAGGACTGCGAGGTCGCCCCCCTGCAAACGATCTTCCAGGGCCAGAAGGTGCTGTGCGGGGGGATGGGGGGGGACGAGGGGACATGGCTGGTCCCAGGGCGATGTGCTGAGCTGGGACGGCCACAAATAGCACTGGGACCTGCTCACAGGGTATTAATAGCCCCTGGGTGACTTCGCCCAGGAGACAGCCTATATTTAGGCTCGGGGCGGACGTGGGGGGAGCAGAGCAATGCCCAGCCCGTCCCCAGGTCAGGATGGGAGATGTCCCCGGCCCCGCTGGGGTTCAAGCTGTTTCTGTCCATCCACCCCTGCCCAGACTGAGCTGAACAACTGCATCTCCATGTTGGTGGCGGGGAACGACCGGATCCAGACAATCATCTCCCAGCTGGAGGACTCATGCCGGAGCACCGAGGTGAGGAAGGGGGAAAAGGAGCTCTCCGAAACCCAGGGGTGAAACCTCAGCCAGGGGGCATCTGGGATGGCCAGAGAGAGCTGGAGCCCACGGAGCAGGGAAGCCCCTGGGATGCTGCTGGTGCCGAGGGACACACACGTGGCATCACTCGCCCCTCGTCCCCGCAGGAGAACAGCGAGGCAGCCAAGCAGGAGCTGTGCACTCGCTTCGACGCCTTGGCAGCGCTGCTGGAGGAGAAGAAGGTGGAGCTGCTGCAGCGCATTGCCCGTGAGCGGGATGACAAGACGGGCTTCGTCCAGGGCCTCATCAGCCAGTACAAGGAGCAGCTGGAGAAGTCAAGCCGGCTGGTGGAGACGGCCATCCAGGCCATGGAGGAGACCGGGGGAGCCGCCTTCCTCATGGTGAGACCCCCAAATCCCCCCTCCCGCCGGTGCCCACACGGGGTGCCACCGGCTTGGGGACATCCCGGCGGCTGCCACATAGCTCCACTCACCTCTCCTCTTGTTCCCTGCAGAACGCCAAGCAGCTCATTAAAACGTAAGTGCCCAAATTGGGGAAAATTCAGCCATCCCCAGTCCCTGTCCCACAGCCGGGCAGGATTCAGCCACAGGGTGCCCAGGAGGTGAGCGTGGGGATGCCCCGACCCCCAACCCTGGCACCCCGTGGTCCCCAGCCCGCAAGGGGACAGGGGGGGACATGGCCGTGCTCTCCCTGCCCAGGATCGTGGAGGCCTCCAAGGGCGGCAGGCTGGAGAAGATCGAGCACGGCTATGAGAACATGGACGCCTTCTCGGTGAGCCTGGACCACCTCACCAAAGCGGTCTGCGCCTTGGACTTCGACCCCGGTAATTCAGCCCCCAACCCCCTGCTGCCCCTTTACCAACTCCCACCGACCTGGTGGCACCTGCCGCGCTTCCCGGTGGCCCCGCGGTGACGTTTGGCTGCCTGTTTGCAGTCGAGGAAGATGAGGAGTACTTCGATGGGGAGGAAGAAGAGGTGGAGGAGGACGAGGCGCCCGAGAGGGCAGTGATAGGTAAGAGGGGCGGCACGGCCAAGCCCACCTCCCCGGGACCCTCAAGCATCCATGGGGGAGCTTTGGGGGCTTGGAGCCCCCTCGATCCCCCCATCCTCTCCCCTGGCAGCTCCCCAGTAGCCGCAGAGACGTTGCCGGCGTAGGAGAAACGCCGCGGGCGCAGGATGTCCGGCGACGGGACTCGGGACGGGGGGGACGCGCCGCGGGGGCCAGCAGCCTCACGAGCCGGCGCCTGCTGCAGCACAGGACACTTTTCTATACGGGTGCAAATAGGACAATTCCGCACGTTTTGTATCTTCCTTGTTTTGTATATAATTGTCACGGATTTGAATTTTGTGTATTTTGTAAAGAAAACTGGTGTTTCAGGTGGTTTTTTTTCCTTGCCTCTCGTTCTTGCCTTGCCAGCCCCGCAGTGGGCATGGGGATGCGGGTGGGTTTGCCGGGCTGGTGCCATCATGGGCGTCCCTGCCAGCGCCCAGCGCGGCAGAGGACACTTCCCAGTCCAACACTTTATTTTCGGCCTCATTGGCACCTCTGGCAGTGCTGGCACCCACGCCTGGCCGCCTGCCCGGGGATGTAACAGGTCGGCACCCAGCAGGATTTATCTCCCGGCGATGGGGTGCCCAGGGCCAGTGCTCGCCCGGGCGCGGGGATGCAGCAGGACAGGGTGAGGATGCTCTGGGCTGTGCCAGTCCCTGAAACAGGGACGGCCTCGGCTTCAAGCTCCCGGTTTGCTGCCAGCTGAGCTCACACGACTGCAAAAATGTACCATGAATGCAAAAATAGACCACAAATGCTTTTCTCCCGCAAAAACATAAGCCTGGCTCAGCAGTTGGCCGAGGGGAAACTGAGGCAGCTCCCACAGCAGCGCTCTGGGCTGTGCCACAATTGCAATTAGCCCCAGGGCAATCAGTGCTGCTCCTCCGGGGCGGGGGGCAGGAGTCACTGCTGGGGGGGCTGGTCCCAGGCTTATCCGTCACACGGCTGCTCTGCGGCTGGATCCAAGCTGGGGGAGCCCGAGGGCTCCCCGGAGCGAGGAGGGGGTCACCGGGTGCCTTTAGGGGGGACAGGGGGATGCTCCATCCCCCCCCGCCTTGGGGGCTGCATCCATGCCCTGGTGCGCGGTTGCTGGGGGGTGCCCGTGGGGGGGTCCCAGAGCAATCCCCCCCATCAGCAGCCCCTCGGCTGCTGGGTGAGCGGGCCCACCCTGGGGCAGGCGGCCGCGGGCGCTTTGCAGCCGGCCTGGCCCTCCCTCCCCCGGCCGGACTTTGCACACGAGTCCCCGGCACTTCACACGGGCCGAGGCCACCGGCTGCCACCAGCGCCGGCCCCAGGATGGCAGCCAGCGAGGAGAAACAGCACCTGCTGAGCGAGGGCGCAGGCGGGTAGGGGGGTGCCCCGGGGGGCTGGGGACGTGGTGTCCCCTTTTCCCCGTGGGGCTCCCAGGTGGGGTCCCCTGGAGGTGTCTGGCCAGAGAAGGGGCTTGGGGGGGAGCATTCAGGGTCCAACCTGCTCCCCAAAATTGTCCCAGGCCCCCCAGCTCCGGCCCCTGACCACCCCTCTCCCTGGCAGGTCCTACCTGGGGGCCACACAAAAGAACGGGCACAACTCGGTGCAGGGACAGGCGCCTGCCCTGGAGCTGGGGGCACGGCGCAGCCGGCACTGCCACACGCAGGGGGCCGCTGGCCACCCCCGCCAGCAGCAGCGGGCACGCAGAAAGCTCTACCTGGCCGCTGGCATCTGCCTCGTCTTCATGGTGGGGGAAGCCGTGGGTGAGTGGTGGGTGCAGGGTCCGGCCAGGGTGGTCCCCATGGGGGCACCCTGAGCAGCTGCCCGCAGCCCCTTTGTCCTGATTCCCTGCCGAGGATGCAGGCAGGGTGCAGGCAGGGCTCCCCGTTGCTTTTCGGTGGGTCAAAGCACCCAGTGGGGCTCCCACTGTGGCACGGGGTGACCTGGTCCATGCCCAGGACCCCCCCCGATGCCACCCCGCTGTCCCCACTGCCCCCTCTCCACAGGCGGGTACCTGGCGCACAGCCTGGCCATCCTGACGGACGCAGCCCACCTCCTGACGGACTTCGCCAGCATCATGATCAGCCTCTTTGCGCTCTGGGTGTCCTCGCGCCCCCCCACCAAAACCATGAACTTCGGCTGGCACCGGGCAGGTGATGGGGCAGCACCACCCCAGGGCTGCCGTCCGGCTCCCAGGGACCCCGCGGAGCACCCCAGGGTGCCCAGCCCACGGAGACCGGGTGCCTCAGGGAGCCCTGGGGGGCACGGGGAGCCCTGGCAAAGCCCTGGCACCATGTGCATGGGCAGGGCAGAGGCATCACCGTCCCCGTGCAGGGAGCAACGCCGGGCACGGGTGGCTGGGTGCCCACCCCAAGCCCTGGTGCTGCTGTGGGGGCCGGGAGGGTGCTCGGGCTTGGCACGGCGGTGCAGCGGCAATGCAGGGTGGGTGGGTCCTCTCCACAGAGATCCTGGGGGCCCTGCTCTCCGTGCTCTCCATCTGGGTGGTGACGGGTGTCCTGGTCTACCTGGCGGCCCAGCGCCTGCTCTCGGCTGACTACGACATCGAGGGTGGTGTCATGCTCATCACCTCCGCCTGCGCCGTGGCCGTCAACGTCGTGTACGTATGGCTGGCTCTCACCCTCCCCAGGTGTCCCCCCCTCCCGTGACCCGTGGCCCCAGGGGTGTCACCGCTGCCCTGCCCGCAGGATGGGGGTGGCCCTGCACCAGACAGGGCACGGGCACAGCCATGGGGCAGCAGGCGAGCAGCCCAACACCAGTGTCCGCGCCGCATTCATCCACGTCCTGGGGGACCTGCTGCAGAGCGTCGGCGTCCTCATTGCATCCTACATCATCTTCTTTAAGGTCTGGGTGGTTACTGGGGGCAAAGGGGGTGCTGGGGACATGGGGACAGCAGCTTCAGCCAGCCCTGGCCAGGCACGGGGCGAGACGGAGGGGACCGTGTCCCTTTCCTCTGGTGCTGAGGGGGGTTTGGGGTGGGGCGATGGCACCGGAGGGGCCTCACCCTCTCCCACCCCCTCCAGCCCGAGTACAAGTACGTGGATCCCATCTGCACCTTCCTCTTCTCCGCACTGGTGCTGGGGACGACGCTGACCATCCTCCGCGACGTCCTCCTCGTCCTCATGGAGGGTAGGGACCCACTGGGGGGTCCGGGACACGGGGCCACCCATGGGTGTGGCAGCCCCCATCCCTCCAGCACCTGCGGCTCTCCCTCCCCAGGGACACCCAAAGGGATGGACTTCAACGCCGTGCGGGAGACGCTGCTGGCGGTGGGGGGGGTGGAGGCCGTGCACAGCCTCCACATCTGGGCGCTGACGGCGGCGCAGCCGCTGCTCTCGGTGCACATCGCCATCAGTGAGTGTCGCTGCTCGGGGAAGCGATGGGGGGGGACTCACCCACACCCTGACGTCCCCTCCCTCGCTCCTTGCAGATGCGGGTGCCAGCGCGCAGGAGGTGCTGGAGGAGGCCAGCTCCCGGCTGCAGGGCACCTTCCGCTTCCACACCACCACCATCCAGGTGGAGAGCTACTCCGAGGAGATGCGGGACTGCCGGGAGTGCCAGCCCCCCCGCGACTGAGCCCCCCGCCAGCCCCCTCGCGTCCCGGGGGGCACTTCTCATGTGTGGAAAATAAAGAGGAGCAAAGGGCTGGGTGCGTGCAGGGGAGGATGTTGGCTCTGGCGGCGCCGGGGCGTTATCTCGGGTGTCTGCTAGGAGCGAAGGCAGCAAGGACGGACCCATGGCTGCGGTGGCTGGAGGAGAGCAGCTGTTGGAGGTCAGAGCCGTAATTTTCCCTATTTCTATTCAGCTGGGTGGAAAGGCAGCTGAAACGACCCTTCTCCCTCCTTCGGGGAGTGCTGCGAGGCAATGGGGTGCTGGGGTGCCCGGGGGCTGCAGGGGGGGGACCCATCCCAGCCGGGGGGAGGGAGGACCTGCCCCGCTCTCACCTCTTATCGCTCCTCTGTTTGCCCTCGGGAAGCCAAAGGACTCGCCCTCCCCACGGGCTGGGGGGGCTGCGCGCGGCCGGGTGCCACACAGGTTATTCCCAGGGTGCCTGGGCGGCCGCCGACAGCAGAAGCACCGATGCACCAAGCTGCCGGTGCTCCTGGTGCTCCCCACATCCTACAGCCACGGGCCGGACTCTGCCTCTCCACCCTCCTTTATTGTACTGGTAAAACCCAATAACGAGTAAAACCCCATCAGCAGCCACCGCCTGCCCCGGGAGGGCTCTGTGCAGCCAGCAAGGGACGCGCGCGCTGGGAGGACACGAGGGGCATGTAGCCGAACCAGTCTGCCAACTGGTTGAGGCAGTCCTGCTGCTGGGAGAAACGCCGGCCGCCAGCCGCCCCCGCCGTGCCCTTCACCTTGGCAGGAGGGGAGCGCAGGGGTGAGGGGCTCCGCTCCCTGGCTGGGGGGGTCCCCACATCCCCCCCCTCGCACGCTACCTGCTGGGGCACGGCCTCCTTGTGCTGCTTCCGCTGCGTGACCTTGATGGGCGGCAGCTTGGTGACGGCGGCCCCAAGGACGTTCATCCGGATGCGCTCGCAGGGGGGCAGGGCGTCGCC